GTTTGTAAACACCGCCCTCCGTGGTTGTGGGGGGTGGGTAAGCAAGGCAGAGGGAAAATCAGGGCAGGAAAAAAAATCAGCAGTCCCATAATTGCCCTTTAGCAAGCTGTTAAACACACACACCCTGGCAGGAAGTAAACAAATCATAAATATCACCCTTCGGATGATGAGTCCCTTCACATCTCTTTAGGTTTTCTACTTCCAAGATTGTACTGCCTTCACTTAAGAGTAGACTCACCGACTCAATGGTGTCTGCATGAGTGTTGACCTAACAGGCAGCCATTGATTCTGTTCATTGGAAGGAGTCTTAATTGGGATTAGGAACAAGGATACTGGCCTGGTTTCTATGGATCACCTTTTCATTTCGGTTGATGCCATTTTTTTAAAAAAAGTGATCCGTGTCACTCATCCTGCTTCCTCCAAGATGCCTCAGTTTTTGCATTTCATCATGCCATTATGAGATTATATATATATTTTAAAAATCTCCTGATCTGGACTGACCACTATATACTCTTCAGGGGAGGCATTAATCACTCCCCCCCACACACACACACACCACTTTTTGTCCTGTGCATTCTTAAAATCTTCATAAATAAAAGCATTCTCTGGCTCAAGAATGACGGTGCATTCATTTCTAAAGACCCTCCACTAATTTCCCAATAAGATTTTCCACCCAAGAGACCTGGCCTGTCTTCCAAGGGTGGAAGAGGCTGGCAAGGACTAGGAAGGGAGTCCCGCCCTCTTCCTCATCAACCATTGGCTGTTCTGATAGGATGCAAAAGAGTGTTCACGAATATTCCAAATTCTGGGCTGAGGGTTGAGAGACAATAAGGCAAGGGTGAAGTTCACTGTAATCCTTGGGAGGGAAGTGGAAGATGGGTTTGACTGGGGAAGGAGGAGGCCTACCAAGCAGGGTCAGGGAAGAGGCCAGTTGGTGACTCGAGTGTCAAAGAATTGGGGGGGGGTGGGGGGGGGGGGAAGATTGCCGTGAAACGCCCTGCAGAAAGAAAGAAGTCTTGGTAAGCCAGAGCAAAGAAGACCTGCATGTCGTTTCCTATTTCCATGATAATTTGGCTGCACGTCTTACGTCATCTATTAATTTTTTTAAAAAAAGATTTTCTTTGTCTTATATTGAAGAGCCAGTCAAGAAACTGCCCATAGCCAAATCCATGGCAGTAGATTTGGCTGTGCC